CCTTTTGCAACTGACAAATTTCACTCAGTGAAATAATGCCTTCTTTATTCTGCATAGTGTTTCATTGTTTATATGTACCATAATTTATTTATCCATTCATCTATTGATGGACACTTAGGTTGTTTCGATCCTTTTGCTATACTGTGAATAGTGCTGCAATGAACATGGGTATGCATACGTCTATTTGTGTGACGGCTCTTATTTATCAAGGGTATATTCCTAGGAGTTGGATTGCTTGATCATATGGTATTTCTATTTCTAGCTTTCTAAGGAAGTGCCATATCATCTTCCAAAATGTTTGTACCATTTTACATTCCCACCAGCAGTGCATAAGAGTTCCAATCTTCCCACAACCTCTCCAGCATTTGTTAGTTTGTATTTTTTTATTTAGTGCCAGTATTGTTGTGGTGAGGTGGTATCTCAGTGCAGATTTGATTTGCATTTCTCTAATGGTTAATGATTGCAAGCATTTAATTCCTCATGCATCTGCTAGCCGGCTGAATGTCTTTTTGGTGAAGTGACTGTTCATGTCCTTTGCCTATTTTTTAATTTGATTATTTGTCTTTTTGTTGTTGAGGTGTTGCAATATCTTGTAGATTTTAGAGATTAGACTCTTGTTGGATATGTCATAGACAAAATTTTTTTTCCCCAGTTTATAGGTTCTCTTTTTACTCTTTTGGTGAAGTCTTTTGATGAGTGTAAGTGTTCAACTTTTAGGAGTTCCAAGTTATCTAGTTTCTCTTCTGGTGTTTGTGCATTGTTACTTATGGTTTGATAATATTTATGCCATATATCAGGGCCCCTAGCTTTGTCCCTATTTTTTTCTTATATGATCTTTATCGTTTTCGATTTTATATTTAGGTCTTTGATCCATTTTGAGTTAGTTTTTGTGTATGGTGTGAGGTATGAATCTTGTTTTATTTTTTTACAGATGGACATTCAGTTATGTCAGCACCATTTGTTAAAGAGACTGTCTTTTCTCCATTTAATGGACTTTGGCCGTTTGTCAAATATCAGCTGCTTATAGAAGGATGGATTTACATCTGGGTTCTTGATCTATAATTCTTGACTGTGTAAGTGTGTGAGTATCTTTACATCGTGTAGCTTCCATGAGACTATAAAGATCACTTGTGTTTTTGTTTTTTTTTTCTTTCATTGGGTAACCCCTTAGTTTTTCACTGGGGAATATGTAGGGTGTCCTAGATAATTAGCAGACAAATCAAGGCAAATTTTTAACTCCCTCAGATGATTTGGGAAAAACTAGTGAAATACAGGCTAATTCCTCAGGGAACATGACAAAGAGAAGGGAGAGCATAAATTCCACCTACCAAAGAAAACAAGAGAATCATTTGAGGAAAGAAAAGCTGATTCCAGCTGAGTGGATAAGAATTGGCTTTGATTCTGATTATCGTCTGGATTTTTGTCATTTTTCATGACTCCTGACTGCAGACAATATTATGGTCACTCACTGTTAACCCCTTCAACTTCACTGAAAACATTCATTTTCTTTTTTGTTAACTAAGACTTCATGGAGCTCTATGATGTTTTAAGGACACTAAATCCTATACATTAAAAGAATGCCAAAGCTCTATTTGATTTGTGGGAGCTGATAGTGGCATTTAATCACTGCAAGTGAAAAGAGAGACAGAAATAGCTCAGAATTTCATCACAAAGTTAATTTAATATAATCTGTTAAGGTTACGCCTACTTTGGACACATCATCAGGAAAGAAAAATTGCTAGAAAAGGATATCATACACGGTAAAGTAGGGGGCCATTGGGATGGTAAATAGATAGACCCTTCATTGGGATGGATTGATACAATAGGTGTAACAATGGACTAAAACATACCAACGATCTTCAGCACAGGAATAGACATCATTTTGTTCTATTATACATGGGGTCTCTGTAAGTCAGAACCAACTCAAGAGCAACGAACAATAACAACAAATTAAGGTTAGAATGCCAGATATAATACAGAACACAGTGATACTTTTTTTAATTGTATTTTATTTTACTTATTTAATTCTTTTTCTTTATTGTTGTACTTTCAGTGAAAGTTTACAATTCAAGTCAGTCTCTCATACAAAAATTTATACGTACACTGTTATGTGACCCCAATTTCTCTCCCTATACTGTGACAGCACACTCCTCCTTTCCACCCCTGATTTCCCGTGTCCATTCAACTATCTCCTTACCCTCTCTACCTTCTCATCTCACTTCAGGACAGAAGCTGCTCATTTAGTCTCCTGTACCTACCTGAGCTAAGAAGAACACTCTTCATGAGTATCATTTTATGTCCCACAGTCCAGTCCAACCTTTGTCTGAAGAGTTGGTCTTGGGAATTGTTTTAACAGAACACAGATACATTTTGAATTTCTCAAAAAGAAATATTTTTCCTAGTATAAGTAAGACCAAGACAATATTTGATAAATAAATGTTCTTTTAGTGTAACTTCGTCCAATTAAATGTTTGTTAAACAATGAATATTGTTAGTATAAGTATGCACCATGCAAAATTTGAATAATGTTGAATAATTTTTACGTAAGAATTTCCCTCTAAAACATACCATTTTTGTTGTTGTTGATCATGATGATCATGTTTGTTGTTTGTTTTCTCCACTAGTTGCTTACTACTGGTTTTTCAGGATGGATATTATAAACTGACGGAGTCGACTGGGAAATAGTGTGATTTTTAAGAGTTATGGTGTTGTAAAGAACTCTCTGCACCTAAAATAATTCCAATCTGACATTATCATGTCTCGGGATTGAAAAATTATTTATTCATTTACACACTTCTATATTCTGCTGGCTTTAATGATGATCTGTACTCAGAGATATTTAAAATGTACATATTTAGATGCTCATAATAAGTCAGAGATATTCTTTTCCAAAAAAGAGAATGGGCAGGGTCAAAGAATTCAGGCATCTTCCAAGGGAGGTAGTGACTGACACTGAAGATGCTGATAGACTCAATACATACTAGATAATTCTTAGAGAACACTGAAAAATGAAAGATGGTAGGATGGAACTAGAAAATTGAATTTCTTTGCTCTATCCAGTATTCTATAGTAAATACCTATAATATCAGACCCTGTGATATAGAAAATTTGAGGTAAAATTTCAAAAGGGGTTAAGCTTATAGTTCTTATACTGTGGGAGAGGAAAGACCTAGAAGGGAGAGTGAAGCTTACTGCAGAAACAGCACACAAACTTTTCTAGGAAGTAGGGGTGAAAGTGACTCACAATCTCCAATATTGTCCCCCTATCTCCCAGATCATGCTGGCAAAATTGAACCATAAATTATCAGACTCCTTTCTCCTGAAAGTTCCAGACAGCCACAGGATAAAAAAAATGATCCTTAGCAGATATCTGCCTGTAGTCTACCTCAAGACTTCAGCTGCTCCGTACCACATACTAAGATCTTGTTGGAGGCCGATGAGTTTCTACCTGGTAATTTCACAGAACATTCTATCACATTATAATAATTCTTTGCTGTATTTCGGGTCACTGAATATTTGGAAATCTACTTACTGTTCCAAACAAAAATCACGCTTACAGAATCCTAGGTTTTCATTAAGGGGACGATGAATGTGAGAAGAGGTTAAAAGGGAATCCAAGTGGAATAAGCTAAAGGAGCTTCATTAACTCCAGTCAGGGAAGTTCCACTTTGATTTACTGACATTCTTTGTAAAATTTTATAAAATAAAAGGGCAGGTGTTATCTCTAAGATGTTTGGAAATCACAGTCTTTTATCCTATAAATTCTCTATTGTAGATTTCCAGAAATAAATTGATAGTGTGCAATATATGATGTTATAAATGCAAGAGTACATATTCTAAATACCTTATAGAGCCTCTCATCTCTAACATAACATTGTTATGTTAGAGGAAGTAGATCATGTAGAATTAAGTAGTATATATCTCTGAATATTGATATAAACCATCCATATTACCAAGGATGGATCCATATCTTCTGTGTCTTGAATCTTACACACATTTGAAGGTTTTCATTAAAAAAGGAAATATAAATACAAATTGAAGCAGAAATGTGAATATTTATTTAGAATGGAAAAGAAATAGAAACAAAATTAGATCATAGACAAACTGACCTTGTTGACAATGTTATAAAATCTATAAATATAAATTTTCATAAATTAAATTCAAGACACATTTCAGCATACTGAGTGTTAGGTGTGTTCTTAGAAGCTATTCTAACACCAGAATGACAGCATTATTAAATGATAAAAGTCACTGTTTCTGAACCATAAAAATATACTTTCTCAGCTCCAAATGAAATATCATTAACTCAATTCCCATGTATTTAGACCCCAGAATTGCTTACTGGCACTCAAAGGAAAACTGACATTTGCCGAAGTGTGATGGAGAGGATGTCACAATGGCAAGAGAATGTGCCTTTAAATGATCATGGTTAAAATATTCTACTTGCACAACACTTACAAGGACACATCACTATGTGAGTGCATTGCTAAGGTCTCGCTGAAGGTCTTGGAAGAGGCCAGAGCAAATAAAGGGCCGAAAACCCTAAGTTTCACTAACTTCATGTTATGTTTTTCACTCTCTTTAAGAATATCGATATCCTATAAATATTCTCAGACAAAAAAAGGAAATACACTAAAGTAAAATGTTGATGTCATTGTGCAGGTAAAATAAAGTATAATATTTCTATAGTAACAAAACTATGTGTTTATCACAAATGGATATAAATAAAAAACACTGTTGTTCTACTTTAGAATTTAATCTATGTTGTATCGGTAGATAATGTTTTATATAGATCCTTCCTATTTTGGGGTGAAGGCGATTCTAAAGATTATTTTGACATCAAAATAAGATGTAGGAATTAATTTCCTCGCCACACATATGAAGTAAGAGAGAATTGGTGGTTCAGTGGTAGAATTCTTGCCTTCTATTTGTTTAGATGATGCTATATGAAAGATAATACAAACACCTCTGTTTTTCCCCAGAAGAGATAACTGGACTAAATGGGTGAAAAGAACTTAACGGTGATGACTGAATTCATTCTAATTGGAGTTACAAGGTGCCCTGAACTGCAGCTTCCCCTTTTTGGGGTCTTTCTCATCATCTACATTATCACAGTGGTGGGAAACCTGGGCATGATCATCTTGACCAAGGTGGACTCCCACCTACACACTCCTATGTATTTTTTCATCAGACACCTGGCCTTCATTGATCTTGGTAATTCTACTCTCATTAGTCCCAAGATGCTGGTAAATTTTGTTGTGGATCAAAATACCATTTCCTATTATGCATGTGCCGCACAGCTGGCTTTCTTCATTTTGTTCATTATCAGTGAACTTTTCATCTTGTCGGCAATGGCCTGTGATCTCTATGTAGCCATCTCTAACCCTCTGCTCTACAATGTTATCATGTCCCCGAGATGTTGCCATGTGCTCGTGGGTATTCCATACCTCTACAGTACCTTTCAGTCTCTCATGTTCACCATTAAGATTTTTACATTGACCTTCTGTGGCTCTAATGTCATCAGTCATTTCTACTGTGATGATGTTCCTTTGGTACCTATGCTCTGCTCAAATGCACGAGAGATACAATCATTGATCATAATGTTTTCAGCATTTAATTTAATATCCTCCCTCCTGGTTGTCTTGCTGACCTACATGCTCATTCTGATAGCCATATTTAGAGTGCATTCTGCTGAGGGCAGGAAAAAGCTTTCTCCACATGTGGCTCTCATCTGACTGTGGTGGTTGTGTTTTATGGGACTCTATTATTTACGTATGTGCAGCCCAAATCTGGTCACTCATATGATACTGACATAATAGCCTCTGTGTTTTACACTTTAGTCACCCCCATGCTTAACCCCTTGATCTACAGCTTAAGAAACAAAGAAGTAAAAAGTGCCTTGCACAGGGTCTTTAAGAATTCATGTAATCTTTGTGTTTAATATTCAATATGCAATAGTGTTTTGAGGCAAATGTCACTGGATAATATTTCTAAGACACAGAACTACATTCTCTTTGGTTGCAGAGCTAAGACTAATTATAAAGCAGAGGCAAATACTCTGTGTCTATTATATTCATCAAAATTAATTCTCATAATGTATATTTCAAGTTTAATGTCATTTCTTCCCCCAAATTGCATGCTTTCTATTCATTCTTTCCTTATGTCATTCCACAGAAATTCAAAATTCCCTCATGGAAACATTTATCAGACAACTCATCAGTAAACTACATGTTTGTTTCAATATGTTATTTTATCTTTTTTGGTTTTCTTTTTGTTTTTATTAAGAAGAGAATATTCTCAATCTTGCTTTTATGCCTTTTCTGAGACTAAAATAAGAATGTAACCAAAATTGGAGACAAAGTGTTATCTGTGTTCCTGTTGACCCCATTAATAATTTATTAGTCTTGTGTATCTTCTGCTGTGATAATCACTTCTTATCTATGCTGTGCTCCAACATATGTGAAGTGTGCTAGGTAATTTTTATCTGTTATCATAATAATTTCACATCCTTACTTCTGAGATAACTAGCCGGGCATGTTGATACTCACTACCATATTCTTCATGCACAGATAATAGAAAAGAAAAAAATGGATAATGAAAAGTGAATAGAGACAGGGGGAGAACAGGAGGAAGGGGAAAAATATTAAAGATGCCTGATGTGAAGGACTAAAGCATTCATTAAAGGTAATAATTGATGGAGACTATGATGATTAAAAAAGAATCGTAAAACCAACAGAACATATTGACATATTTTCTAATTCATATTTTCAATGAATTGGAGAATATTGTATGTGGAAAGAAGGAAGAACAACGTATCAATAGGGCATGTTGCTCTAGAGTGAACAATTTTATTGCTGAAAATCCACATATTTTATTAAAGGTAAAATGTGGATGTTGTTACTCTTCATTTGTACAGCATGTATAAGGGATGGTAAGCTAAATTCTACTGAATGAATAGATATTCTACTCAAGTAGTAAATACTTTCACCATTAGTTTGTTTTCATTTACTAAAAAACTTTGGGGACGAATATTTATATTTTAAATGTTTATTCCTTTCAAACAAACACAAAATCTTCCTATCTTCCATGCTGTCTTCATCTTCACTAGGTTAATTACAAAATCGTTATGAAGTGTCATAATTTACTCAAAACAAAAACGAAATAGTGTTTACTCTCTGTTTTTCCTTGTCATACACAGAATTCTAAAAAAAAGAAATCTGAATAGCTCTACAAAATGGCTGGTAAAACAAGAAAGTAAAGACATTTTACCATAATGCTGATGGTCCTTACCCCGTCTTGATTTTGTTCTAGTCTCTACAGGATGTGTGCCACTAATCTAGAGAAGTACAAACTTTAGAACAGTATACCTGAAGTGAATATTTTCTTGGAAACCTAATAATATCTGACAGAGCTAGAAAATATGGATAATATCCAATACTGAACTAAAGGAGAGACATCATCAGAAATGCAGAATGATTATGTATTTTGGAAAGAATCAAAATTGTTCAAGAAATCACAACAAAAACTTATGTCAGAAAAACTACTGTAGTAAAATAGGTAAACAGAATATTATTTATGTAATCATAATACCACGTTTATTAATAAAATTACAGATTTAGGGGTTTTAATTTGGAATGTTATTGAGTATAATGCAGTTTACATATTTTATATGATTTAGTATGCACATATACATATATATGTATGATTTAAGGCTGCACTGAATAAACATAAAAGTATATTAGGAGCTCAGAAAAATTGATTTCAGATAAAAGAAACACACACAAGCATAATTATATATCTACATTTACTACTTCAATCCAAATCATGGTGACCACATGTGTGTCAGAATAGATTGTCCTGCATAAGGGTTCAATGGCTGATGCTTCGTAAGTAGATCAAAAGGCTTTTCTTCAAGGCATCCCTGGGTGGACTCCAACCTCCAACCTTTTGGTTAGCAGGCTGTGGTTGTGTGTGTATACATACATATATATACGTATGTATGTACGTATGTACGTATGTATGGAGATGATGAACAAAAATGCAATGGCTAATATAAACAACACATTGGATTGACTTTTTTTTAATACAAATTTTCAGTCAATATAAACTTATATATTTAGTAAGCCAAACTCTAAAAGTCTACATCATCATGAAACACATTTTTTCTGTGTTATGCAGGAAAAATACAATTCTTAAAATTCTAGAACTCCGAAGAAGTGGATAAATTGAAGAATTTGATGAACAGAGCATTAATAGACAATAACATTAAAGAGTTGAAATGTGTATTTATAATAATTATTTATTGAGGTGAAATTCACACTTAAAATTAATAATTTAAGTGTTCAATTCAGTGGATTTTATTATATTCACAATAATGTGTAGGAATCAGTTTTATCTAGTGTAAAATAATCTTTATCACCCAAACGATGTGCTTCTATGGATAAAGACATCTCTTCTCAAGCCCTCTACCTCCACACGGCCCCTGACAACCAGTAATCTGCTTTTTGTCTCTATGGATTTTCCTATTTTGATTATTGCATATAAATGGAAATATTCCATATGTAATCTTATGTTTTTTGCTTTTCTTACTTAGCATTAAGCTTTCCAGGTTTATCCACATTATAGCATGTATACATGACTTCATTTTTATGACTGAATAATATTTCATTGAGTGAATATACCATATTTTCTTTATTCATTCATCTACTGATGGACACTGGGTTGTTCTCACTTTTTTTTGCTATAGGGAATATTGCTTCTATGAACATTCATATACAATTCTTTGTTTGAATATCTGTTTTCAATTCTTTTGGGTATATACCTAGAAGAGGATTTTCTGCATCAAAAGGCAGTTTTATATTTATCTTACTGTGGCACTGTCAAACTGTTTTCCACTGTGTCTGCACATTTTACAATCTCATCAAAATTATATGAGGCTTTCAATTTCCCAAAATTTTTGCACTTTTTCTTTCTTTTTTTTTTTAATTATTCTATCCATTCTAGTGGATGTGGAGTGGTATCTCATTGTGATTTTGATTAGCATTTCTGTGATTTCAGATTATGTTGAGCATCTTTTCATATATTTTTCTTTTTGTCATTTATATATTTTCTTTGGAGAAATGTCTATTCAATGACTATGCCAATATTTTAATCGGGTTGTTTGACTTTTTGTGGTTGAGTAATAAGTGGTTTTTATTTATTCTGTATAATAAACCCTAATCAGACATACAATTTTCAAATATATTCTCCTGTTTTATAAGTTGTCTTTTCACTTTCTTGATATTATTGCCCTCTGATGTGCAGTTTTTTTTTTTTATTTCTATGGAGGACAATTTATCCATTTTTTTGTTTTGTTGCTCCTGCTTTTGGTGTCATATCTAAGAGTCACCTCCAAATCTAAGGTCATAAAGATTTGCCACTACCGTTTCTTCTAAGAGTTATAATTTTCTATCTTACTTTCAGGTCTTCCTCTTTTTTAAGTTAATTTTTGTATATGGTATAAGGTAGAGGTACAGTTTTTTTTTTTCCATGTTGATATTCAATATCCCAGCACCCTTACTGAAGAGATTATTCTTACCCCTTAAAAGGTCTTGACACACTTGTTAAAATTCAATTAACTATAAATACATGGGTTTATTTCTGAACTTTCAATTCAAATCCAATGGTCTATATATCTACACTTATGCTTGTATGGACTCTTTCTCTTCCATTCTGTTACTGTTATATATCATCTGTTCAACAACTCTTGCATTCCTGGGATAAAGCCCACTTGATCTTACTGTAAAATCCTTTTCATATTTTCTGTATTTCATTTGCTAATATTTTGTTGATAATTTTTACATCTCTAGTCAAAGTGATATTGTTTTTTAGTTTTATTTTCTTGTGATATTTTTGTCTGGCTTTGGTGTCAGGGGAATGAAGGTTTCATAGAATAAGTTAGAAAATATCCCCTACTCTTCTGTTTATTGGTTTGAGAAGGGTTGGTGTTAATAAGTTTTTAAATGATTGATAGAATTCACAAATAGAGTGTCTCTTTATTTCCACACAGAAGACTCCATTTAGCATTTCCCATATGGCAGGTCAACTAGCTATGAACTCTATCACTTTTTGTTTATCTGCAAATGTCTTACTTTTGCCCTTATTTTAGAAGGATTATTTTGCCAGATATAGAGTTCTTGGGTGATATTATTTTCTTTCAGAACATTAAATATGTTCTCAATATATGGCAATAACTCCTGGTCTCCATGTTTTTTGATAAGAAATTAACAGTTAATATTGATTTTTTATATGCGATGATACCAAAAGAAAAGATTTTAAAATTTCAGCTTTAGAAACTTCATGTTCATTTCCACGGTTCCTACCCTATACCAAAAACAGTTTTAGTTACTGCTTATCTGATGTTTGGACTCATTAAATATTTTAATACAATAAAGCAGAGTTTAATTCCAGGCAACATGATTAAAGGTAAATCACAGCCATTAATTCATAACAAACAGAACAACAAACTAACAAATACAATGTTGACATAATTATTTCCTCTAATGGAAAAATTTGTATAGAAGAAACAGCTAAATATACATTTTATAACAGTCCTGCTGGTGTAGTGGTTAAAATGCTCAGCTGCTATCTGAAAGGTCTGTTAGCATTTAATTTGATTTTATTCCTCCTTAGACAGCTAGTGCCTCATGTGCTGATTATCATGGCCATATTCCAGATGCAGAGATAGTAGCTAGGAAAGTAAGAATGGATAATAAAAAGTGAATAAAGAAACAGAAGGTAGAGAGAAAAAAAACCTTTGCCATTGAGTCAATTCTGACTCATAGAGACCCTTTAGGACAGAGAAGAACTGCCCAATAGGGTTTCCAAGGAGCTGGTCAATCTGAACCTCCAACCTTTTGGTTAGCAGCCGAGGAAGAAGGAAACATAAAGGAAAGATATTTAGGATGCATGATTGGCAGGACTAAAGGACTTATTTTAAGTGATAACTGAACAGATAACATGATGGCGAAAAAGAGCCAGCAGAAAATATTGACATATTTTCTAATTCATATTTTCAATGATTCTGGAGAATATTATATTGGTAAAAGAGGAAGAACGATATGTCAACAGGGCAAATAAACTTAGGATAAAAAATATTTACTGCTGAGCACCCAGGTATCATGCAAAAAGCACTATGTAAAAAATAGTACCATTCTTTAATAGAGAATAATTAAAAAGATGGTGATATAAATTCCACCGAATAATATATATTCTACTGAAGTAACATCCACTTTTCCTATTATTTTATGCGTGTTGTTGTTTTTCTTAGTTGCCATCA